CCTCTTTACTCCCCCCTCACACTTTTTTTTTTAAACTTCATTTCCTCACAATATATCCCTAACAGTTTAAGATGGATGACATTTGTTTGACTGCTCCCATGATCTTGCCCATATTATTCTATTATTCTGTCATAATTCTTGTTATGAAAGTGCAAGGAGTTAGAAAGCCTCTGCAAAGACCACCTACTACAAAGCCATCTTGAAAAATGCCTTTCATAAACATCATCTTTGTCTTTACATGAGCTTCTCAGATAAACTGTACTCTCACAAGGGTTTGGTTAAAAAAGAAAAAAAGAAAAAAAAATCAGACAATTCTGAGCATTACAAGCTTGCTAACGAGGGGACATCTTCACTTGTCATCCTAGGAGAAGCCACTTTAAAAACAAATAATGAAGAAACAAAATATGGCAAATTATGGCCAATATAAGGCAAAATACAAGCCTAGCCACTTTTTTGAATTTTGTAAACCTTCAGCTGATTTATAATAGAAGTCCATAAAAAGGTTTTCAACTTGTAGTGGCAAGCAGAGAAGAAACTTAAGCAAATTGCCAATAGCTACCATATCAGTTCTGTAAAGTCAAGTGCTGCTTACCAGTCTGAACGAAGTAATAGAATATGAAAAAAGTGAAACAACACAAGTCCAGGATTTGAGAATATTAAATTGGTTAGTACGTTCAAATCCCAAAGAAAAACCACAAGCACCAGGAAGGCATAGAAGACAAGTAACAACCAGGTGCCACCTTAGAGATTTCACCAGTGGAAAAACAAGCTCTTGAAATGTTTTCAGAAGGAGTTTCTGACTTCTAGAACAAGCTAGAGAGCTAGTTCTAGCGAGAGAAATTTCAGTTAGGTTAAAGTTTTCAGCGGGACTTTGTCACAGACACTGAACTTAAGACTTGGAGAGAGACAGGCTCAAGGTCATTGCAAGTGATAAGTTAGCAAAGGGAGTCTAAGCTGTCAAGAAGAGAGGAAAGAAGAAGCTTATTTGTCACCGCTGAGACAGTCCAGGCTACAAGTAATCATGCAAGTCTTCAGGTACCAAATATTTATTTGGTCTCATATATACGTGCGAGAGTTTTAAGAATTTTGAGGCAGGAATAACCAAAGCATCACCATGTTCATCACAGTATGCCTCAGATATTGTTATTTACTTTTTAAAGAACAAGCCAACCTGAAAACAGTATGTGAGGTACTTTTACCACAACAACATTAAATGCTTTCCAAACGAACAGATTTACGAAACACTCTTACTGAAACAAGCAATAAACACTCAGTTTGCAGAGCCCAGGTGATGAACTTTTCACGTTAAACTACATAAATCTGTGCTTCCACTACACAAACCTAATAATTTGTTTTCACTAGAAAAATCCAAAGAGTCCCCTGAGTACAACATGCTACGACAGCCAGTGAAGGGACGCAGCAAATGGCGCCAAGGATGAC